ACTGAGTAATATACCTCTCCCTGCATTCCAGGCGAGAAAAACAAGTTTGACGGACGAGACGAAGAGAGGAGACGAAGCCACTATGCCAAGCGATACTGTTTCATCATCATACGATGCACCTGCAGGCACGTTGATGGATATACTGCCTTCTCTTGACGATGGCCCAGTTCAACCCGCTTAAAAAGTTTCCAAGCTGACTACGACTTGCTGATTTTTCGTAACTGAAAGTTTCAGTCAAGTTTCGTTGGACCGCTATTGGACCGCTGGCTGGTTAGAAGAGAGGCTGGAGTTCTCGGTAAATACAGAACAAATCATAGCCAACAATATGAGCGGCTTTTGAATTCACATGATAGACACGATAATGTTAGTGCTTTTGAACTAGCCAAGTGAAATGACTAAGGTATGCATATGCTGTGAACACTTGACACATAGGCGGTACATGCTGCATAGACGCGGCTTCTTGATTGAAACGCCTATGACTGGATTAGACTAATGACCAGTGATAGGTTTAAAAGTCTTGAAGGAAAGCCAGCCAAGACGAGGTCGTTGGGGAACGGCCGTAACGTTACGTGAGGGGCGTAATCACGTGACCTGTGCAATCTATCCGGCTTTTGGAGGCCCCACTCTTTTTATGTTCAGTAATCATGCAACTGCTGTCTTCAATCAAGTTAGTCCAACTGCTTCCCACACAACACGCAAACAACGTAATCCAGTCATCTGCAGAATCCGACAATTCTCGCTCTAATTCGGCTTTATTTGTGTCTCCTAGTTCTAAACTCAGCTTATTATCCAAACAGAGTAAGCTTGCGAGCCTGCATCTCGGATAACACCCTCCCTTGGAAGCTTAAAGTAGCATATACTCGTTGTATTCCACTTACAGGCAGCATATCTAGCTCGAACTCTATAAGCTTGCGAAGGCAAATTCGCTATTAGGAGGCTTGGTCAGACACAGGCGCAGTTCAAGGGACCGTTTTCTCTACTTTCCTCAACTCGACAATAGTGTGGACGGGTTTGCTTTCTAACAAGTCGGGACTTCCCCTTGATCGTGGAGCGTAGTGTGCACTTGTGCCTATTCTCCGCCGACTATCCACTATTGTCTCTTTTGATTGTTTCTCACGAGTAGTCTGTACACACACAAGGCTGCATCTCAGAAAATCACGGTTCCGGTTGATCCGACAAGGCACGTGACTGACTCAAAGAGCTGGCGTCAAACGAGCTACAGCAATAAGGCTTGGTCCCTCAGGCTAAGACTGAAGAACGCCATGACAAGTTCCGAGTCGGAAGAACAAGTTCCTCGAAAGCGGACGCGAACGAGCCATAGCGATGAGGACAGGACTGCTGCCGGGAAGAAAGCTAGAGGGAGACCTAGAGTAGACACGCAAGATGCTACTGCTGCTGATGTACGTTGTTCTATTTTCATATCTACTTGTAGCACAGAGCTAGTTGTGTTTTGCGACTGTCACTATGAAAACCTGCACCACGGTTTGCAACCTTCGGACTTGGCTGGGCCAATTGAAAGCCGATGTCCTATGTGTGCAAACTGACCTTGTCAAAAAGCACTTTCGGTTATTCGTTGCTTCTACTAGATATTACGGCTATTTGATTTTTTCAACATATACTAATTCACGTCTCAGCGACGAAGAACACAGATACGTCTTGCGCAGCGAGCCTATCGCCAACGCAAAGAGACAACGATTGCATCCCTGAAGAACCAAAGCTCTCAGCTGCATTCGATCATAGAGCAGATGAACAAAACATTTGGTCGCTTGAATGAAGCTGTACAAGCATCTGGGTTACTGCAACTCACCCCTGAACTAGCAAGAGAGTTCAAAAATGCTTCGGAAACTTTCTGTGGTCTTGTGAAGACTGCCAATGAAGGCGAAAATGACGGGGCTGAAGAGCATGCGGATCCGACCGACAACGCCACAGAGTCCCATGAGGAGCGTGTGCAACAGAAAACAGCCGACGACTCTCAGCATATGTCCTGGGGTGACTCAGTTTCATTCTCATCTTCCAAGGTGAGCTTAAGATTCTCCGGACGATGATGATGGGCATCTCGGAAATTCATCGTCGCACCTTCTAGCGCCAGTTCTCTGCTAATTTTGTTCGATTCCCAGCCAGAATCTCTAGATCAACGGCGTCCCATCGACTCCTTCGCTGATGTAAATAGCACCTTCGGTGATGATATAATCACATCGAACCTTGTTCGCCATCGACGGTCCGTTATTGGCGAAATTCTGAACCAACAAAGCGTTGCATTACCGCAACGACAACGAAGTCAGACGTCAAGTCATTCCCAGCAGCTTCCTTTTGGATTGCTCGACCTCATCAACCAAGATCAGGCGTCGTATACGCCATCATGCACGGTAGGTGATGTCCATTCATGATCCAATGTCTCATGAGATGAATTTCCCTCCTCCGACTACATATAGCGGCTGAAGGGAGCCTAGTGAAGGCCTTCAAGCCCATTCCGTATGTTTCTGTGCTAAGGTTCATATAGAACTCTAACCTTTATTCCATCACCGTTCCTACCTCCCAGGATACTCCGCCGACGATGAGATTACCATCACCACAGGCAGACATCTCGCTTTCCACAAAGACGTCATCCGACACAAAAACTACTTATAGCTTTCATGAGATCAACTTTGCGCGACGATTGACTAGACGTGCGCTCGAGGCCGGGTTCCAGCTGCTCAGTACTGCGAACGTTGGCCCGGCAGTCTTAAACTATGTGTTCAAGCTCTCACTACCATTCTTAACGCCAGAACAACTACGCGCAAGATTCAAGCTCATGCTAGAGAGGGGCCCGGATGAAGATCTGGATTGGTGGGAGACTCCTTTCATTCAACTTGGTGGAGCGGGCACACATTATCCGAGGCGTGATGCTAAGGGTCGGATCGCGCCATTTAAAAACGCATGGAAAGTAAGACCGCCAGGTCCTCAAGACAAGAAATCAGCACAAGTGGAGAATGCTATTGATGGACGGATAGAGTCTCTGGAGGGCGTCGATCTCACCGGCTACGAAGGAGAATGGTTCGACGCTTATGACGTCCAAGGATATCTAGAGGAGAAGTATGCTTGCAAGCTAGATCCCGATAGCTCATTCGCGGAGTGTCTACTCGAAGACGACGACAGCAAGAATGATCCTGATCAAATCGCTCAGTCCGCTCAGTTCGATGCAAACCCGCGACGAGAAGCACACGACGACGGGAGTCCAGGCCTGACGAACAGCTCCGCGAACTCATCCACCTCGTCGACCTCCTGCACCGCTGTGAGCTTACAAATTAGCCCGCAAGATCTTCCAGGCTCAGGCCATTTCGGCTTGGATATGAACTTCCCTCAAGAAACTCGGCCGGCATTTCGAGGCGAGGATATGGACAAATTGGTAGGTTACGACATATCGTTTGATCAAACACTGGGTCTCGATCTAGCACCTGGGTTCGACTATGGCTTCTCAAATGAAAGTGGCATGCACATTTCATCGACAGGTCTGACCTCAGACATGATGAGTAACAATATGGCATCGGTACCCGTGTCAAGACAGAAACGGAAGAAGATTGTTACCCTTGACGTGAGCCGACTGATTGATGGTGAGTGAGAGCGCTTGCTGGTGGTAAACAGACGGTGCGCTGACAAAGTTTGCAGAAATGATGAAAACTGGTGTTTGTCTTGGGCGAGCTCCAGGCTTCAGGCGAAAGGATGTGGACGGTGCTGTAAGACTAGCGGCAATTCCTACGTATTGAGAGTATCACGGAGTAGGAGAAAGGGGGGGCGCCAGATGGCAATTCAGGCTGAGGAGAAACAATGTTGCAGACTTTGTAATATTATATGGGTTGCTGACTTTACTGGCAATACCATATGGGATGAGACGATGAGGTCGACGCGAACAGAATGTCACGTGCACGCTATAACTGGCGCTAAGGACCAATGGCCTCAATAATCGCCGAACACCCGCGGTCCATCCCCAGAACACCCGCGACCACCAAAAGTGAGGGTACCCGAGCACGTCGTACAAAGCCTTCCATAGGGCTTCCCTGAGATCCGTAGAACCTCTTTGGAAAGCGCAGACGCATCTTTGAGCGCGCGCACACTTGTCTGCGGTCCCAGGCGCTGACGGAGAACTGCCTACCCTGGACTGTCGCATCCTCAGGCTGCTGCACGCGAGCAGCCATCGCAAGCCTTTTGCGCCGTTCGGGCGTCTCGCCAATACAGTAACCTAGATAGTTGAGCCGTACTCAAGAAGTGGCCATGTCGAACCAGGTGGTGGTTAGTATTGTTCCCAGCGCTCGCGCGAGCGGTGTGGGGGCAAGCAGCCTTGCTAACAGCGGACACCCAGGGCGCCGTCTACCAGCAGATCATCGATAAGGTGATTGCGGTCTCCAACAACGACTTTGAGGAGTTTGGCGTAGACCACTCTACCCTCAACGAGCTGAAGCAGGTATGTGGCAACCTGGCCGCTCTCCGACTTGTCGCTCCTGCCCTGTTCCACTACCTGCACATCCCCCCCCCTCCCCACAACCGCCCTGCGCGACTCATTCATCCTCTTCCTTTTTCCCCGTCTTTTTCCTCGTCACCCATTTCTCTCCTCTCCATGTATCGACAGTCTCGTCCGATCGCGCGATGCTGCCTTGCTTGGTTGGTAGCGGGCGGCCGAAAGCGGGGCTGGGTTGCCGGCTGGTCTCGCAGCTTCGGGGGCACCTCAGTATTTGGGTCACCCTTCTTATAGCCCCTGCGCAGCTCCCCACCCGCCAAGCCACGCAAATCACTTCCCAACACGGCATAGCAGATCATGTGACTGCCGCCTTCACCACGCTGTCTTTTCCCCTCAGACACATGGCCATCCTGTATGCAGAGACTAACATGGTGCTAGGGCTGGCAAGAGAAGCTATCTGCACTCAAAGTTGCGCAGTTTCCGTGGGATCCGCAGCCTGAGCCTGTTCGCCAGCCGCCCACGGTGCCATCCAATGTCAAGGTTGACACTGATACACCTGTGTCGGCATCTCAGGAGACGCTCAACTTTCCGAATGTGCCAATGAAGGCAGATTCTGGTTATGCACCGCCCGTCACCAACTATTCCAATCAGGCACAGACGACTGACGGGTCTGGTTACAACGGTGGATATGCGCAGAACACACAGCTGGCACAACAACGTGCCAATGCCCTAGTACAGCAACGTATACTTCAACAAGGTCAACCACAGCAGCAAGGTTATGCTCAGTTGCCTATGCAGGGTCAGCCACAAACCCAGCAGCAGCAGCAGCAGCAGCAGCAACAACAACAGCAGCGCATGATGACTCAACACCAGCAACAGCATTCTCAACAGCATTCGCAGCATCCCCAGCAGCAGCAGCAGCGCCCACAGCAACAGCAGTCACTGACACAGCAACAGCGCGCTCCCCAGCAAGGCCAAGTCTACACATCACAGACGGATGGGTCGGGCGATGCGCTGGCGGATTGGGAGGCGTTGAAGGCTGCCCGAGCTGCTAGTATCGAAGAACAAATTGCTGCCGATCAGTTCATGCGCGCTCGTGTAGATGCCATGGCCATGCGCCAGGACAGCGGACTCATGGTGCCGCTCGACTCTATGCCGAAAGGCAGGAAGCGCAAGGCAGCTGTCCGCGTGTTGCAGTGCGAGGATGCAGAAGCTTCATCGAGTGCACCAGCACCAGCTCGCTTTGACGGAGAAGAGGACGTCAAGCCCGAAGAAGATCCAGATGACGCGATCAATTCGGATCTCGATGACCCAGAAGATGAGCTCAACGATGGCGACAACAGTGACGACGACATGGTTGACTACATGCTGTGCACCTATGACAAGGTCCAGCGTGTGAAGAACAAGTGGAAGTGCACCCTCAAGGATGGCATTCTTACGACAAACAAGAAGGAGTAAGCCGATCTTATCCCGAGACCTGTGACCTTGTGACTAACACCGCGACAGATATCTCTTCCACAAAGCAAATGGTGAATTCGAATGGTAGTGACATTCACACAACTCCCGCTAAAACCCACCCAGCTGAACTCGAATTCTGAAGCGCCCCCTGCGATCGCGACGCCACATGATAGAGTTCAGCACACCCCCTGTACGATATGATTACTCCTAGGTTTCCCCCCTTCATTCTAGTTGTCTTATCCTCCAAAACGTTCATGGCTCACGGTCCACACATACACAAACACAAACACACTCAATGCGAGACCCGGGTCTTTGGCGGTATGGGTTCTTTGAACGAGTCACGGTTTCCCCTTGTTGATTGGCTCGTTTCTGGCACACAAACACATGCACACAGAGTAAAGAAAGTAAAGAAAGTAAACAAACACAAAACGTCGAATTGAATTGAATTGAATTGAATACGCATAAGCAATGGAGGAGAATATAAAATGGAATGAGATGAAACATGTAATACACAATGGCAGGATTAAACCAACATGGATTTTGATTAGCTAGAATTTTCGTTTCTGTTTCTTCTTCTCCTCTCTCTCGCTATCTTTCTCGTACACTGCAATCTCTCCATCCCATTATATTCGTCTCTACATGGTGAAGACTAGTGTGACTGGATATCCACCAAGACATGGTTGAGAAGAGGTAGACTAGTCATATGTCTCCATCACTCCCACTCCTCTACTTTAGAAATTTAGAATGAGCAGAAAGGCTCATGTGGCAAAAATAAAAAAAACGGCATCTAAAATGGATTGAAAATGTGTCCTTTATAGTATCACTATATGCATACACATACGACGCAACATCTCATCACAACTCATCATACTCATCTCCCTCACTCCCCTCATTTTCCCCACCCACACCCATCATCACCGTCTCATCCGCCAACCCGCCATCCTCGTCATCCCCCTCGTCCTCCTCCACCAACGGCACAAACTTGAAATGGACAAAGTTCACCTTCTCATCCACTGCACCGCGCTCTGCCGCAGACGCAGACACAGACGCCGATGCTGCACTTCCCCCTACAGCATGTCCGCTCCCCTCAACAGCCACCATGAAATTTAAACTCAGCACGCCCTGGGCATCAATCCGCAAGCTGACCTTTCTGGCCACACTCATGGTCCTGGCAGCCTTTTGGACAAGACTGAATTTAAATGTGCATCTAAGGACAGAGTCTGTGTCAGAGAGCTGGAATGTTTCGAAGAGAGTGGCTGGGATGGGGGTAGCAGGAGCCGCGTTTGTGCTGGTACGGATAGAGTTTCTCGTCTTAGGGTGGGCATTGTCGTGTTGATTGCTGAACTCGACTCTTGCGCTGCCGAGGGTGCCTTGTGCGCTGAAGGCTAGGAAGGGTTTGCCTCGCACAGTGCGCGCGTACAGGACTAGTTTTTCTGGACTTGTGGCGCTGAGCTCCGATATTGCGTCGAAGAGGTGTGATGCGGGCATGATGATTTTACAGGCTAGTGCGAGGGGGTCGAAGGGTACGTCCACCCAGTTTGCCGACTCGTATGTTGTCAAGTCGCATTGGGTTCGGATGCTGGCTTCCGTCAGGGTTATGGAGAAGGGTGCACCTATTGCAGCGTAGGAGATGCGACATAAGTTGTTCATTCCCAGGACATTATTGGAAAAGGCGGTGCTGGTTGGATATGGGTTGTCGCGAGCCCATGATGGCTTCGAGGATGAGGGATCGGTGAGACCGAAGATTTGAAGGGTTTCTAGGAGGGCGGGAAGAGAGATTTGAAAGGTGGGCGTGGAGCTGGTGGGTTCGGTGTCATCTTCGGAATCGTCCGAGTCTTGAACAGAGTGCTGGGTGAGGGGCGGTGCGTGGTAGGTGTAGGTTGTGAAAAGGGATTTGTCAAGGAAAGCGGATGCTAGAGGTGTTAGTAGAGGGATATTCGAGTATGGGAGGGAATCAGTACCTCCCATAGAGCTAGCCTCGTCAACCGAAACTTGAAGGCCGACTTCGCTCAGCTGGATGTATGCTTTTGTAGAGAAGGCAATGCAGCGGAGTAGCAGAAAAAGTTGGCGGGCCGAGCTAGAGACTGCGGTGAGGATGGGCGGCTCCTCCTGATCCATGTCGACAAGATGAATTGTGTGTGGCTCGTGGTAGGCAATGCGACCGCGGTGAAATGTTTGAGGGCAGAAGAGGCGTAGGAGGAGTGCAGAAGAATCGTGGGTTTGAACTTTTTATTGTATTTCCATAGATGATAGTACAGACAGTGTGTCCCAAACGCCCGACGGAGAAAGTAAAGGAGATGAAGTTAGACGTAGACGCCGACTGCGCAGATCATGTAGACTGCGCCAAAGCTGCGTGGTGTTAGTACAAGGAAGGAAGAGTGTGTACACATGGACACGGTTAGACGCGACATACCCGAATGCTAATGAAGCTGGAACACCGAGGACGGGTAGATTGACGAATGAACGATCTGTGTGTGGAATGAGTAAGGCGTGGATTGCGCAGAAGTCAGGGTGTATTGTGCATACTTAGGCCAAAGATGGTGCTTAGAACCAGAGCTGGGTCGCAATGTTAGCATGAATGCGCTACAAGCAAGCCTCATCAGCACGCGACGACGTAACTTACAGATGGCCAGCAAGGTAAACCAACGACGAATTGCGAGTCCTTGCCAATGGATGGGATGAAGGGCGAGGCAAAAGCAGCCTCCCAGACGTCTAAGAATGGGGTCGACATGTGTATATGTGTGCCAAAGAAAAAAAAAAAAAAAA